AAAGGAGAGGGAGAGAGAGAGAGAGAGAGAGAGAGAGAGAGAGAGAGAGAGAGAGAGGGAAAAAACACACGACTTGTCGACTCCTCCCGGGGGGTGCTGACTTGTGCCACTGAGGTTGACACGTCGACAAATCGACTTTTCTGTTAATGCCCTAGTACAAATATATAAACAGAGAAACAATCGTCCAATGCATGCACATGAAAAAAAAAAAAGAAAATGAAATTAGACAACTAAATAGACTGAGGACAGGAAATACCATGTATAAGAGGCAACAGAAACACTCAACATCAATACAGTGAAATTAATAAGTAAATTTTACCCAAGAAAAGCACACGAGATTTGAACCAATGTTGTTTCTTTTGTGCAAACACAGCAAAACTGAAATCTTGTTTCTTGTAATTAGTTACACATGAGACCGCCAGATGAACCACAAAAAGTTAAAAAGTCTGGGGCCAATGAAAGACGGAGAGAGACAGAGTGTAAGGAGGTCTGTTGGACAGAGCGTTTAGTCAAAGTGTTGAATAGATTTTCAGGAAGTAGTTTGTTCTTCTCCGCTCTGCCAACGTCATCGTCGCTGGCTTGCACATTTTCCACTGGCTTTGCCAACTCTTTCTCAGCCTCTCTTACACACACACACACACACACATGCACACACACACACACACACGCACACACACACAGATGCATTTAACTGGGCACGAATAGACAGGGACACATGTGGACACGCAGATCAGTGGACATGTAGGCTTTATAAATGAGCAAACTAGGTCTGGCAAGCTACCTCGCTCTCACACACACTGTCACACACACACACACACACACACACACACACACACACACACACACACGCATTTATAAGCCTGCTCTTAGTTGCGATCGGAAGCTCTCACTGTGCGTGTGTATGTGTGTGTGGAAGCCGAGCTTTTAGCCAGCAGTGATGCTGGTGGCACCAAAACAATGTGGTCATTATTGGACTCGACACAAAGCCAGGAGGAAAAGAGCAGGAAAACATAGAAACAGAACGTACAGAATATATGCAGTAGCTGTACCTGCTCTGTTCAAACATCTCTCAGTGCAAAAACATATATATGACACAGAGTAAACTTGTTGACAGAGATGCCATTTATAGTGTAGCAGTCCTTTGAAAATGCCTGGCTATGTTCTGTCACGATGGGAAATGTTACAACGCTTTATGTAATTTATTTTTTTAAGTGCAATTCAGTACTTTGCTTTGGTATGTGATTTGCTGCATCTGAGAGCCCGGTGAGATGGCTGCCTGGCTGCCTAGCTGCAGACCAATGTTCGAGACCAAGAAACAACAAACCGGCTGTTTTTTAGTGACACATCACGCCATTTTTAGAGGCCAAAATCTGGTGTTTTTTTAGTGACTCGTAGCAGCATTTCCAGCATTTTCAAAAGTTGAGGACATATCGATGTGAGAAAATATACTTCATGAACCTTTGAAATCTTTTTGAGTTTTGCTCTGTTCTAAACAGCGTATTTCTATGAGGGCGATTGGGTTCATCTGCAACAGGAAACAGTTTGTCAGTCTGACTACACTTGCCTGCACTTTCTCTCTCTGCTGTTCTCTGTGGTCTTTGTACTTTGGGGTTCCCCTCAGTAATTACTATGCTGAGTGGCCCCAAAAACAACAACAGTCCACTGTGGCTGCGTGTCAAGGCAGGAAACTAACTTTTCTGCTCAGTGGCCTCAGAGACAAAGACAGCCCTGTTTAATCAGCCATTTACTTCCATGCGAGTATTTTTGTCAGTGTTTACTCAGTCAGATCTGGGAAAAAATGCAACTGGATGGCATTTTCTATATTGTGATGATGAAGAACATTTATCCCCAAATGAAGCAATGTTTCAGCTGCAAAGCAGAATGGGAGCTGTTTAGTTTAAAAATGGTTTCCAACTACGTCTTGTGTGCAATATTGATGACTTATATCTTGAGAGAAAACATTAGCACAGAATGGATACGTCTGTGACAGTGACTGTGCCACTTTGTCTTTCCAGGATGTCTGCCAGTCTTCCCTGGAAGGAACAAACCCAGTTATCATCAGCCAGTGTGGGTGAAACAAGATTGAAGGAGCATTTCTAAATGTAGCCGAGGGAACAAGATCCACTGTGCCAGTAAGTGATAACACATCACCCTAGGTCCTCAGGAACCATGCATCTCCAATTACTCCCTTTTATACTAAAACACAAAGATTCCAATGTCTAATGCAGCAAAATGACAAATACCAGCCTTTGTTTGTATAGAGACAATGGGAGATTTCTCCAAGACAAAAACTTTATAAATGAAACAGATTGAGACCCACACTCTCCGAAAGTACACTTTCTGATAACATGTAGGAAAAGCTTGTTGGTTTAACATATAGTATAATAATAACATTATAAGGACAAAATATGCAAACAGTTGTTCTTTTTAATTTTCAAACTTGTTTTTTTGGTGTCTACTAAAATATGTTAACTTGCTTTAATGATACGGAAACACTTTATTTTCCTCATACTGTCTTCGCTGGACAACCTGTTTTCACCCTCTGTATGAGACGCTCCGTCTTAGCACCTGTCTCTTTAAATCTCCTGCCAAAAAAGCCCAGTCTGCTCTGACTGGTCAGCTTTTCTCATTCTTCCACATTTCAGTGTCTCTGACACGTCATTGCAGCTGGGGAATGACTCTAACAGAGAATAGCAACACCCTTTGACTGTGAAAAATCGCCAATTCATGCTTCTAAACAAATCTTCATTACTGGACATGTTCCAGCAGGAATACGATTCAGCATCGGGGAGAAAACAACATCGGCAAACAAGATTACCTGTTTCCCTGACGTTAGCATGTAGCTACATGTAGCAGAACACTTGCAGTAGTGTGTTTGGAGCAGATGACCATATAAAGAAATCTGCAATGAGCTGGCATCAACTTGTCTCAAAAATATTGTAAACAGAATCAGAACGGTCTGAAGCTTGAGGTTTTTGCTCACAGGGATTACTTTTACATACCTTTACCTCATTTTAAATATGGCCATGTTAAATAGGAACATCCATCATTGTAACACTATATATATGACAGAAAATAAGAAAAAAAGCATAATATGTCCCCTTTAAAGACAGTTAAATAAAACCAAAGTAATATTTAAGGTTACCAGTGATGTACATATTCAGATACCCTTCACTTCCAGTACTATGTTTGCAACTGTTGTGTAACATGCACTAAGGGTTAAGGTTTTGGAAAACCCTTCTCGTTCCTGGTAGTAGGCTGGTAAACTCGGTTAGAGGCCACCGGGGGATGAGAAAATAAGATTTAATGGCCATTTGAGCCTGGGTGAGCCCAGATGAAATAAGATTTATGTGTCATTTCTTGATATCAACCCAAGGGCCAAAGCAGATAACAGATCAAAGATCACAAGTAACAGGAAAGATAAATTCTCTAGGAAGATGATGGAGGGCAGAGAGAAGAGGGGAAGAAGAGCAGATGCTGTTTTATGGAGCTGTGAGTGCAGGAAGATTGATGTAAGGTTAGACTGTGGCTCAGTGTGGAAGAAGTCCACAGGATCAGTGAAGATATTGCTGGTACAGACAGTTGAAGTCCTGACCCACTTTCCACTAGCCTTAGCCTGTGTTGCATAATGCATCTTTGGATAGGCTTCTTTCATCAATATTCCCTTTGCAAGAAAAGCACATAAAAATCACACTCTCACTTGCAAACTAAATTGACTTTTTGACCATTTTTGACAATAAATTATGTCAATGAGATGCTGTAGAACAAATTACATGGTGAAAATGTAGTCATTAAATGTGAAATAAAACTTATAATCTGAAAAATGGAAGCATTTTTCAAAGTAGTCTGGCTTTAATCACTCTCTAGACGGCTTCTCTGACAAATCACCTAAACCACACTGACTTTTCTGCACCGCTTTAACAGTAAGGGTCAACTCCATACACATTCTTTTCTAAATTTCTCAAATGGAAATGTCTCCTTAGTAGGGTTGATACACATTCTGGTTTCCCTGGGATTGTTCTCTTTTTTTGAGTGACTGCCCCAGAAATCCCAGGACACAAATTGTTTTGTTTTTTTTGTGTGAAATGTACTTCGACTTTAGTATGTCAGAGTTGCAAATAGAACCTGATTCTTCTACTGCTATTGCCATTTTTCCTCTTTACATGGAGACACCCAATCCAATCCAGTGTCTGTAAACAGGTAAAAATGAGTAGAACACAGTGACAGTTGGCTTCTTTTCAAATACAAAAGTTTACCTTATCACCTAACAACTGCTGCATGGGCTGTGGCTTTCTCAGGTAGGCTATCCGGTCATTTCACATTATTTTGTGCAGTTAGTAGGCTACTGTATTCCCTGCTGTACTGTGAGAGCTTTACACTTTTTAACCGACTGACTCTTTTATTTTGAAAGCCCCTGACTGGATGTTGCAGTTAGGCTACTCTTGTGTCTTGTGTTGATGATTAAGATAAAGTCAGTTTTAACAAATTACCACATGCATCAAAAACCTGGATTGCTCTGAAACAACTTGAGAAAAATGGTTCGTAGGTTTCAACTTTATGATCAATGATCAATTGTTTTTCAGCCACTGATGTACCCAGCCTGTACGTCTGTGTCCATGGCAACCTGTCTTCTTAACCTATTAAAGACTGAATGAAGATTATGCACTCTTGTTTTTTTTCATGGACATGGTATAAAGTTTACTCCAGGGTGCTGGAAAGGAGGCTCTGACCGATTGTCCAACCTTAGATTCTAGAGGAGCAATGAGGATTCCATCCTGGCCGTGGAACAGTGGACCAGCTCTTTACCCTTGCAAGGCTGCTGGAGGGTTTGTGGGAGTTTGCTCATCCAGTCTACATGTGCTTTGTGTACTTGGAGAAGGCTTATGAGATAGGGTAAGGAGCTCGGACATCAGCAGGGAGCTCAGAGTAGAGCCGCTGCTCCTTTGTGTCGAAAGGGGTCAGTTGAGGTGGTTCCGGTATCTGATCAGGATGCCTCCGGGGCGCCTCCTGCTGGAGGTGTTTCGGGCAGGTCCCACTAGTAGGAGGCCCCAGGGCAAACCCAGAACACGCTGGAGGGATTACATATCTCGTCTGGCCTGGGAACGCCTTGGGGTCCCCCAGGAGGAGCTGGAAAGTGTTGCCGGGCAGAGGGATTTCTGGGGTGCTTTGCTCGGCCTGCTGCCCCGCTACTGGGCCCCGGATAAGCAGATGAAAATGGATGGATGGATGCATGGTATAAACCCAGCCTATCATGTTACTAGTACATTGATAACTTTTGTTGTTACTTCTGATTGCGGCTAACGCCATGTTTGCACTGGACATCAACCGCCCCACTGTGTCTGTTGTTGTGCAGCCACCTGACAGCAGTCATCTGGTCGTTCACACCAGACGGGCATTTCTCCATCCTGGTTAGCAAGCGATTGTTTTCCTCTGCTCTTCTCCAATCACATGTAGAGCTCTGTCTCTGCTGGTGTGTGTCTGTGTTTGCATATCTGTGTGTCTCAGCTTGTCTCACTCGTTTTCTGTTTAGGCAAAACTGACAAATATGTGGAAGCACGGGATGCATTTATCATATGCACGCAGGTCATGTATATCATATCTAATATATTGTTCAAAATAGATTATTAGTGTGTTTTCTTGCAAGATTCGCTCCCAGCTCATAGGAAAAAAAGACCAGATGCTGAAACTATTGTTGCATAATGCGAGCTGGCAATGGAACTCTGGGCCATGGCGCGTCCAGTGTGAGCAGCACCATTGCTAAACACAGGCGTTTAATGGAAAATCACTGCGCTTCACGGAGCCTCTGCATCCAGTTCTTTTGCCTACAAAATGTCAATAATTGTATGTTTATGTTAAAAGATAGTGAAAAATACCCATTACTCTTTCCAACAGTCTGCAAAGATATTTCTCCATCCGTTTCCAGCGCTGGCAGCCTGCTAGAGTTGCTCTTCATGGTCTTGTGTCTTTTATGACCTTTTTCCCTTATTCATGTACTTTTTAATATTTGTCCCACAGCACAGTGTAGTAAGGTTAATTTTGGCAGTATGAGAATGCTGATTCATACGTTGTAACCCTCTGGTTGTGAATGTTAAATTGTTGTTACTGTACTTAGTATCACTGTAATATGAAGCATAAAGGATAAATAAAGCTCTGTTGAGTTGAATATTTTGTGAACTATGACTAAGACAAAGAGAAGCAGTGAAAATGAAGAGCTGAGAAAGTAGCTGAGTTTTTGGCATTTTTGCTTATCGGCTAATCAATGAAGCTCTAGTCCAAAACCCAAAGGTATTTATTTCATTATCACATAAAGGACAGAAAAGCTACAAATCTACCCAGGTAATATTTGGATTTGTGCTTGAAAAACAGCTGAACTAAACAATGAAGAGTAGTTGCTAATTCATTTTCTATTGACTAAAGGTTTCAATGATTAATTGTTTCAGCTGAAGTATATATTTCTAGTTATTCTGTTATCATATAGCAACGTACAGCTCCGTAAGCCTTTGACATATCTGTGAAAACCCGTATATATTAATCATTTTTATCTGTCTTCCCCCGCTGCCTTTCAATTTCACCATTTAGCCAAACTCCCTCAGGTTCTGAGAGTCACATCAATCATCCAAATTTACATCAGGAACACAATATCACCGAACGTTAAAGTTAATGATGGTGCATTATGCATATGCACTGCAGTAAGCAAACAGAGTTTTTGTGAGGTAATTTATTGTTTTTCGATGCTTGTGTGGGTGTAAATGGTTCTTCTCTGCCATAAACACATAAGCACACACACACACACTGACAAAGAGGAGTAATAGATATTTTCCTTGTCTGTGTGGCAGTGTGCTCGGCTGGCTCTCTCGCTCTCTGTCATAAATGCTCACATGGTTCCATTTGTCAGGTGCTGCCGTGTGCACATTATATATGTGTATGTGTTCTATTAAGATGGATGTGTGTTTATGAATAGAAAGAATTATAGCAATGGATTTATAGGCCAAGTAGCCTTTGGCAAAACAAGCACCCAGGGACCACACACACCCACGCACCCAAGCCTTGGCCAATTCTCCTGTGTGCCGTGTTTCATGGTTACAGGGGGGAGGGGAGACGTGATCACACCTGGGACTGACACAAAAAAGAG